AGGAGAAGGAGCACTGACGCGGCGAGTGTTCGCCGGAACCGTTGAATAACAGGACAATTCATGAATTCATTCATGAATGACGTGACAATTAATTTCCTCTCCTGTTCCTTCCGCGTGCGTCCAGACTACTTTATTTAACCCCGAAACAATATCTGAACGAATATATCTTACATTGTTAGGCGCTGTTGGCCTCAAAGAGTGGGGGGGGGGCATTCATTCATTCGACTCATCACCTCGAGCAGTACTACGAATGGTGACATGCTTCGAAATGCCAGTTTCACTCTCTTCGTCCACGTAGAACAGAGAGATTAATTTCATGCGAGCTTCACTGGTTAGGAAAGTGACCCCGTTGAGACCATCACTGCCTTTGTCATTATACCAGCATTACGTCCTTCAACTCGTCCTAGCACTAAAGCCCTTTCCCGCGACTCCGCCAGAGTACGTCATTGAGGCCAGCGAGGGAAGGGTGGGGGACTGGTTGCCTCTGAGAAAATGTCTTCGGATGTTGACTTTCTTCTGTTCTTGTTTCATTTCAAATGCGGGTTGTACCCGCCTTCTTCGATGACAATTTTTGTATTTTCCAAAGAAAAATTGGAGGAACTTCCAGAAAAACAGAAGAAAGTTGGGTAAGCGCAGGAATGTGGTAGGATCAGGGATGGGTAAGAGAGGTCGTATTTCACACCCTCCCCCCCCATGGCAGCACGTGCCCTGCACTTCTCACTTAAGCGACAGGTAGCATCGTAATCTTCAAAACATGCATATGCAAAAGTATCCATTCTATTGAGAGCTTCGAAGTTCTAGGAGGCGCTTACAAGTTGTTTCCAATATTGTCGAGTGTTAACCACATACCAGCATTTCGGAGCAGTCGAATTTGTCTGTTCCTGCTTTCCCCGTAAAGGTTTGACCTCGCAGAGCCAGCATGTCGATTGCACGACCCCAGTCAATCAGCTTCAAAACTGGCGTATTTAAAATGCTTTCGACATTTTCGCATCCTTCGTTCAGTCTAAACAAAAAAACAGTTGTAAAGGTGTAACAAAGTATCGCTCAAAGGAAGAGGACTGAAGCAAAAAAAAGTCACTGTTCGGTGATGGGAGGGGGCATTTTGCACACTTGCTACTTACCACCACTACGTCAACCCATGTAGACAGCCGTTTTATGAGCTTACGAAGAGTTGACAGGTTTCACCATGGTGACTCGACGAGCTTGCTCCAGCTTCACAAGAGTTCACAGGTTTCACCAGAGTGAGACTTGTAAACCGGAACTAGTGAAGCAGCAAAAGTGCAAAATGCCTGCTCGTCGCCGAACAG